ATATATATATATATATATATATATATATATATATATATATATATATATATATGCATGCATTTATGTAAAATATAGAATTGATATTTCTCTAAAAAAATTTAACAAATGGAAAACGTTCTATTAAAAATACATTTAATAATACGTTTTAAAAATAGTATATAGAATTAAAAAATATTTTATCTTATCATATATATATATATATATATATATATATATATCAATATATATATATATATATATATATATATATATATATATATATATATATATATATATATATATATATATATATATATATATATATATATATATGAAATGACTGAACGAAAAATGGAGGGAGAGGTCATCCCGTATTATTTTTGACGCTCCGAATATGTCGAATTGTAAATAGGTCATACATTTCACCCCACATGATATTTACTTTCATTTTTTTTCTCTTCTGTCTGTCTGTTTCTTTATCTCCCCCCCCTCTCTCTCTCTCTCTCTTTCTCTCTCTCTCTCTCTTTTTTTACACACACATACACACACACTTCTTGTTCAAACAATTCAAAAGTGTTTTCAATACCTGACTACATCCCACGCTGTGTGTCTGGGGGAGACGGGCACTCAGCTGCGATTTCAAATACTTAATAAGACGCCTCTATTGACGGAATTTTAAGATATTTAATTCTGGCGCATAGACATATTCATGGGTACCCCAGGAAATAATGAAATCATTATAAACATCTTACGAAACTGTCTCGATAACCAATGTGCCTGTTCTTCTTGCAAGGAGATTTTCAACAGTTGAAAAAAAATATGTCTAATAATGTATTACAGGTCAGACTTCGAACCGGATTAAATGTTTATCTCTATCTATAAAAGGAAGGATGTGTGTGTGTGTGTGTGTGTGTGTGTGTGTGTGTGTGTGTGTGTGTGTGTGTGTGTGTGTGTGTGTGTGTGTAACGAATGCACGGCCGCAATTTTCGACGGATTTGCACCAAAATTTACATGCACATGCTCCAAGTTGACGGAAGGCCAAGACCGAATTTGCATTTCCCAACTCCCATCGATAGTGGAAATAATCGATTTTTTCATGCTTCTACAGCACTTTTCATGTTGTTTGCGGCCATTTTCTACTGGCCAGAGTGAGAGCCAATAGCTGATTGACACGAATGTTAACTAGCATGCTAGCATGCAAAAAAAAATCGATAGCTGCATTTGTCACAAGTGAGAAAAATTTAAATCTGCATGGCACTTTACTCCAATTGGCTCATTCGCTTGCTTAAACTCAACGTTGATTCTGATTCCGCAGAACTGGGTTGCGTGTGAAAAAGTATTTGTTGTTAACATTCTTTTTTCATTCGGTTTTTCCAGTTACGAGTTCTTTTTTAAAACTGATCGTTTGGTGTTCATTTTGTTTAGCTCTTTTTTCGTAACAGATTTAATGTTTAGTATAGAGCTTAGAAAAATTCGCAGTGTGAGATAAGCAAGAAGTAAGGCATGTAGCAACATCAGCACGGCAAAGGGTACTTCTTTAAAGGCAAGGAAGGGCAAAAATATTTTAAGTCAAGTGATAGCGATTGCTGTATGAGTCGTATGATTTTTGAATCAAGCACGGGCAACGCCGGGCCATGCTGCTAGTATTTTATAAAATCTGACTATTGCTCTCCGTGCTAAAAAAAAAAAAAGAAGAAAAAACGGTATCAAAATCACAAAATTAATGCAAACGTTCCCACTCTATCCAGATATTAAATTCAATAGATAAATTGTGGTCCATTATTAAAATAAATTATTCGGAAATTGAAAACAATATTAAAGCAAGGAATATCTCCGAGAAGAATAAATACTGCCTGAAGTAAATATTATAATCAGATTGACTCAATCGGGACCACCGATTCATTGTGAGCTCCACGACCCTTTCCTTAGTTCGACATCGCAACACATAGTTTCGAATTCAGAGTTATCTATCGCAAACTCTTGTCCGACCAATGCTGAAGATCCCAGTCTGCTCTATTACTTTCTCTATCGATTGAAAGAGAAAGGTCGTTTCATGCCTTTTTTTAAGGGCATTTGCGCGCAAGGTATTAGCACGTAAGTAAATGTGATGGATTCGACTCTCCGCTTCCACAATACAAGCCGCTACTCATTACTCTACCGTGCCTCCTCATAGAAAACGAATCAATCCATCCATTATTGATCTCTACACAAATGTATAACTTTAGTACAGTGTAAACCGGATATAAGAGACCCGGATATAAGAGAAACCCGGATATAAGAGAGATTTTCTCTGGTCCCAAATTAGAGCCCATACTTACCTAAACAAAATAGACCAAACCCGGATATAAGATAAACCCGGATATAAAGAGACTTCTTCTCCGGTCCCGACAACTCTCTTACATCCGGGTTACACTGTATTTCTTAAAAGTAAGACTCTACTTTCATATGTTTAGATATTTTTGATTTCTTTATCAAAGATATTTCAAGATGTCAGGTTTTCTATATCAGATTTGAAATGACTCCATTATTTTACGACTTCAAAGCGGCGAGGTCCCGTTACATCAGAACTACCACGTATATAGACTTGTTTGTCTCTTATACGTTTGAAGTCAGGCCAGCTTAAATTTTCCCATGCAATTTTATTTGGCTCAGTAAACATAAACCAAACATTTTTATTTAATTATTCTTTCATTTGCAATAATAATAATAATAATAATTACTACTCTATCATTTTTTCAACGTGGATCTAAGTCTAACTGCGTCTAACTGCAACGCTGATCAGGGAAAAAGGGGAAAGATATCCTGACCTTAGTTTGGCGTAGTACAGAAATACGATAGCAGGCCACTCAGCGAGGATTAATCACAGTCTCTTGTCAAATGAACACCGTCTCTTCACGACAATGTGCCCGCATACGACTCTTAAGCTACCCTCGTGTCGATCGGTGACTATATGCTTCCAGTTCGTCTCCATTGTAGCAGACAACCCCTCTCTCACAGACGAAATGTCGCGAGCCTATCGCTTTTTCTATAGCATAGTCACACCAGCCCTGACCTTTACAACTGGAAGCCGCCATGCCATTCCACATACACAAACATGAATCATCCACATTCCCTTCATATTCAATTATTAAAGAGGAAATTCCACTCGGACAGCTTCTTCCCAAGAACTACGGCTTTGACGATCAGACTCCCAGCAGGGTGTTTTCCCAATCACAACAATCTTGACCTCTCCAAGTCAACAGTAAACTTTCTTGCATAACCCTATGAATTTCACTTCTTCTCTTTCCTTACGCTCATAAAAAAACACTCAGTAACTCTCTACCTTGACTGGCTCTTGGGTCTTGTACTGGGAGAATATTAGTATTACAAAAGTACTTTTGAGGATATAGCCAACGCAAGAATCCAGTGAAAACTAGAAGCAAGATGATTAGCAACTTTATTAACCGAAGGTTTTCATTCAAAATGTCTTCCCCACCAAAAGATGCTAGATGGTCGTTGACCTCAATTATCCTATTATAATATACATATATTGTCCCTCGCTTATTTAGCACGGCCGATACGCCCTGCCAATACCTAATAAATAATGGACCATTCTGTTTTGATATCAGAGACGCGACTTGGTTTCAGTGAGAAAAACAAAGCCACAAATAAGAGAAGATAAGATTGTTTAACGTCTGTTTCAGTGAAATGAAAAACTGTAAATTTCAAATGTATTCATTCGTAGCCTCTTACTTCTTAAAATAACAACTAGCATATATATTTATGATCGTTATTGCAATATTTTATTGAAGTTGTTAAGCTCAAATATTTAACGATGCAATAAGGCAATTTCTGCGGATATTTTATCGTCATAGAACTCGCCATGAGCTTATTCAATCATTAACTGAAGAATTAAGATTCATCAAAAATTTCAAATAGGAAAGCCGTGTAATTTCCACAGGTATTGCTAGTCCGATGTATATTGTTACAGGCGCATCCATAGAAAGCCTGGTAGAAATCATAGGACAATTCTAAGATGGAGCTTTTAAGCATTTTCATTTCTTTAGGGTCAATATTTTTAGATGATTCATAGTCGCTTGGAGGAACGGTGGACTAATGGATAGCGACTCGGATTGAGAAATCAGGAAGCCAAGTTCAAATTCTAGACAAATCCATTACATTCATTCACGTGCTAATACCATTGGGAAAAGTATGAATCCTCATCTTCTTCTCCATCTCACCCCCAACTGGTCTAACGTAGGAAAGAAATACCACCCTTCTGCGGGAAAAAAAAATCTGCCTCGTCAGTCACGTAGATACATGATCGCCTAAGCGTTTATCGCACATAACTGAACTGATAGTCCTTACATTCAGGTTGTTTCACCGAATAGTATTTTATCATCTATGTTGTTTTAAACATTTCACCCCAAGTAAGGCGATGATGCCACTATGACGCAAGTGGTTTTTGGGAGTGGAAGAAAATGAAAAGATTTTAGAGGGGAGAAATGACAATAAAAGAACAGGATTCAGGAAGAAAGAAGATGTCGATTGACGTTGCATTTAAATTTTCGAAGATCGTAGGTTGCAGGGACTCAAGAAATCAGAAGAGATTTTCAGAGGTGAGAATTGTCAGAAAAGAAATGATTAAAATAGAAATTAAGATTATTATTAATTATGTACTATAAACCCTTTCAAGGCGAGAAAGTCTCTCTGGCCCGAACTGAGCAAGTAAGCATCTACCTATTTCAACAGTAAAACACAATGAGACCTAGTTGCCAATCTAGTAGTATGCTTCACGCGGTCGAGGTAGCAAGGAGGAGAACTTATTAAAACAACTGCCAGGAAAATATTTTTGGTAAAAAAGTGAAAAGGCACGTCACGTTGGTAAGAAACAGACTGAAGTCGAGATGCCAGGTCAGGACCTATAACATTGCAGACCCTTCCTTGGATTTTGTGGAGAATTTCGAGATATATAGCGTAAGCATCAGACCAGATATCGCATCAATATGGCTTCTTATTCTTTTCTTATTTTTAATTGACTTACAGCCATATCTTGTTAAAGAAAAACAGGTTCTTGTACGATCGCAGAAGTTAAGCAACGTCGAGCCTGGTTACTACCTAGATGGGTGACTGCGTGGGAATATCAGGTGCTGTAAGCTTGAATGTACAGGTGGGGTAAGGGATAACAGCTCGGAATTGGAAATCGGAGAGCTGTGTTCAAATTGGGTTCCTTATATTTACGTACACATAGATACCCTTGGGAAAGGTATGAATCCACCTCTTCTCCTCCACCTCCCAGATATGGGTTAATTAACAGAAGTTTCATCAGTAAATCATTAGTGTCTCCAAAGCATTCTTCCAATCTAAAAATATTTTCTGGCTTTAAAAGAATCTGAAAAAAGGTTGATAAGACGTAAAAGCAAATCAATCAATCAACCAGCATTACAAGATACCTTTCACTTAAGTTGTTATTCAAAGAATTCTTAACTTTTGCGTTCTACAATGCACACTCTGCAAAAAGAAGCCATTTTGGTAGATCTCTAAGTTAAGCTCATTTTTCTTTACAAAAATTTTGCAAACTTCCAAGACTTTCAAACAATTTTCCACAATCTTTTACCTTGTTTAATATTCTCCTTATAAATTTCTTGTTTGTTACAAAAACTTTTATTGTTTTTTTTTCATCTTAACTTTGCCTCTACACGTCTTTCCTTGTCTTCTTAATAGAAAACTATAGTAGTCAGTTCAGTGGCAACAAGACCATCAGTGTATTTTATAAATAGAAGGTTTACTTACTGATACAACTTTCTTGTTCGTGTGGCTGATATTTGTAAGGATTCCTTTCATATGTGACTAAAATTTATGACATATATACATATTCTGAAAGGTGACATTCCAGCACGTCTTTTTTTTTTGTTGTTGTTGTTTTTTTTTCTATACAATTGGTGTGTGGAGTGTGAATTTTAGCTGTTTTTTTCCGTTAAAAGCGAAAAGGGTAGACAACAAGCATCTACCGATTTCAACAGTAAAACACAATGAGACCTAGTAGCCATTTTATTAATACGCGGTCGAAGTGCCAAGAAGGAGAGCTTAATATAACAACTGCTACGAAAATATTTCTGGAAAAAAAATGAGAAGCCACGTCACGTTGGTGAGAAAGTGACTGAAGTCGAGATGCCAGGTCAGAACCGATAACATTGCAGACCCTTCCTTGGATTTTGTCGAAAATCTCGAGATATATAGCAGGAGCATCCGACAATTCTAAGGCGGAGTTTTTAGTCATTTTTTTTTTCCTTTAGGGTCAATATTTTTAGATGTTTCATAATCCTTTCCGTGAGGTTATTTCATCGACGAGTATTTTATTATTATCTACAATGTTTTAATCATTTTACCCCAATAAAAGTCGATGATGCCACTAGAACGCAAGAAGTTCCTGGAAGTGGAAGAAAGTGAGAAGACTTTAGTGTGGAGAAAGGACAATAAAAGAACAGAATTCAGTAAGAAAAAAGATGGCGATTGACGTTGCATTTAAACTTTTTAAATTGTAGATGGCGAGGAATCACGAAGAGAGTTTCAGGGGTGGGAATTGTCAGAAAAGAATATAAATTACAATTATTATTGATAATATATTATAAACCCCTATTATGAATAATCAAGAGTGGTCTCCCCTTGTTTTGTTACTATCCTCTTTGAGAGTGCTACTTGTGTTTACTGGGACTATAAAAGGACACTATACGCGAACCTTGTATTCTCAGTTGAATAAAGTTTGCTTAAATCCTACATCTGCGTACTTTTGTCATTACAACCACTTCACTATTTTTAAAAAGCACGCAATCTTCAATTTTGGGTGCTTCTTCGAAATCCCGGGGTGGTTCATAAACTTTTGCTCTATAGTGCAGTCATGTAACCTTGCACATTTCCCACGTTACAAAAGATTTTTATTTATGTTGATGTGCCGCTGGGTTCAAGGTAACAATCCATTCAGCTGACATTTTTCTTCTAAAACCACAACGAGGTCGCTCCTGCCATAAGCTTCTCCAGTGTAACGCTCGTAAAAGTTGCAACAGGCCAATCAGTTTTTGTTTTTCGATTCAGACAAAATAAATCTTTACCTAAATCAACTGATTTGACTGAACCAAACGCTTACCCGTCTGCTTTTCAATATTAATGCCAAAACTAATAGACACAGAAAAATTTCCCACTGTTGTATGTCGTGATCGGGTTACTTAGCAGCTAGATATTCACCGCCAAAACACAAATATTTAGTTTCAAAACGGCGACGCCATCGGCGTATATATATATATATATATATAATTATTTATTTAAAAATATGATTCCAACGCTACATTATGTAGCGTTGGAATCATATTTTTAAATAAATAATTATATGTATGCTCTACTTTTTATCGAGCACTGTTTTTTAGAAATAATAACAAAAATACTAAAGAACTTTGGATTATTAACCTAACGAGTTCTTTCCTATTTTCTATATATGTTTACACACACACACACACACAGAAACACAAACACACACACACACACACACATATATATATATATATATATATATATATATATATATATATATATATATATATACTAGCAGCAAATGCCCCAAAGAAAGGCATGAAACGAGCTTTTCTTTCAATCGATAGAAAGTAATAGAGCAGACTGGGATCTTCAGCCTTAGTCGGCCAAGAGTTTGCGATAGATAACTCTGAATTCGAAACTATGTGTTGCGATGTCGAACTAAGGAAAGGGTCGTGGAGCACACAATGACTTTGTGGTCCCGATTGAGTCAATCTGATTATAATATTTACTTCAGGCAGTATTTATTCTTCTCGGAGATATGCCTTGCTTTAATATTGTTTTCAATTTCCGAATAATTTATTTTAATAATGGACCACAATTTATCTATTGAATTTAATATCTGGATAGAGTGGGAACGTTTGCATTAATTTTGTGATTTTGATACCGGTTTTTCTTCTTTTTTTTTTTTTAGCACGGAGAGCAATAGTCAGATTTTATAAAATACTAGCAGCATGACCCGGCGTTGCCCGTGCTTGATTAAAAAATCGTACGACTCATACAGCAATCGCTATCAATTGACTTAAAATATTTTTGCCCTTCCTTGCCTTTAAAGGAGTGTCCTTTGCCGTGCTGATGTTGCTACATGCCTTACTTCTTGTCTATCTCACACAGCGAATTTTTTCTAAGCTCTATACTAAACATTAAATCTGTTACGAAAAAAGAACTAAACAAAATGAACACAAAACGATCAGCTTTAAAAAATGACTCGTAACTGGAAAAACCGAATGAAAAAAGAAAGTTAACAACAAATACTTTTTCACACCCAACCCAGTTCTGCGGAATCAGAATCAACGTTGAGTTTAAGCAAGTGAATGAGCCAATTGGAGTAAAGTGCCATGCAGATATAAATTTTTCCCACTTGTGACGAATGCAGCTATCGATTTTTTGCAGTCTAGTTAACATTCGTGTCAATCAGTTGTTGGCTCTCACGCTGGCCAATAGAATCTTCCTGCCTATTCGTGGCAGCCAGCTATAAGCTCTCACTCTGGCCAGTAGAAAATGGCAGCAAACTGCATGAAAACTGCCGTAGAAGCATGAAAAAATCGATTATTTCCACTATCGATGAGAGTTGGGAAATGCAAAGTCGGTCTAGTGCATGTAAATTTTGGTGCATATCCGTCGAAAATTGCGGACGTGCATTCGTTACACACACTCACACATCCTGCCTTTTATATATATATTTATAATATATATTTTATATATATTATATAAATATATATATATATATATATATATATATATATATATATATATATATATATATATATATATATATATATTTGAAATTTATAACATAAATATGTTATAAAATCACTATAAAATAGCTATTTATTCAAAACTTCTGGTGTCTTATCAAGTGATGGTTTGATTCAATACCATCACTTGATAAGACGCCAGAAGTGTTGAAACAAAATGGTTATTTTTGTAATGATTTTATAACATATATTTATGTTATAATTTTCGAATAAATAATCATATTTGCTCTACTCTATATTGAGCACACTTTTAAGAATAGTATTTTTTTATAGGAATTTATTCTGTTTTTTATTAAATATATATATATATATATATATATATATATATATATATATATATATATATATACGTATGTATGTATGTATACATATATATAGTTTATGAAAAACTAGGTAATCCGTATGGGTAAAACCTAAGGATGATAAAATCCAGAGAGCTTAATGTAGTATGTTTTTTTTTATTTATATATATATATATATATATATATATATATATATATATATATATATATATATATATATATATATATATTTGAATAAAAGACAGACCACGTTAAGATTCCACCATAACCCTTTAACAGGGTTCTGGATCATCAGACTTTACTTCCAAAAGGGGTTATGGTGAAATAGCTTATTACATGGAATCTTAACGTGGTCTGTCTTTTATTCAAACATATCTGCTCTGAATGTTACATTGAGCTCTCTGATATCATCTTCTCAGGTCTACCCCATACGGATTACCTAAATTTGCATAAACTATATATATATATATATAGATAGATAGATAGATAGATAGATAGATAGATAGATAGGTAGATAGATAGATAGATGCTATTTTTTATATATATTATTTATATATTATATATGCGTGGTACTTGCTGGTAAGAGGTCAATATCTGCGAGAGAGTTAGATATTTTTTATGTTGATGTGAGTTTGTGATCCAGGATTACAAACTCACATCAACGCAACTATATATATATATATATATATATATATATATATATAGAGAGGCAAGCTTCATTAAATATGACAAGGTGATTTGATTACGTTTTTATATAATTACTTATATGATCTTACATTTTTTTTTTCTTTTCAGTAGATAAATTATACAAAAATCTTCAATTAATTTTATTTTTTCCGAGCGGTTTCGGCTATACCTTTAGCGCTTAGAAAAATAAAAGATTTAGACAGTTTTTTTATAATTTATTTACTGAAAAAAATATTTTAAGACCATATGAGAAATTTATAAAACTTAAATTTATTAAACTTAAATTTATTAAACTTAAATTTATTAAACTTAAATTTATTAAACTTAAATTTATAAAACTTAAATTTATTAAACTTAAATTTATTAAACTTAAATTTATTAAACTTAAATTTATTAAACTTAAATTTATTAAACTTAATCAAAGCAACTTGTCTGTCATATTTAATGAAGCTTGCATGAAAGAAGGGTTGCTGCCTAAATACACATATATATATATATATATATATATATATTGCGCATAGCTTGAAACAGCCTGTCGCCTGTGAGTGTTGACTTCAATGTTCACTTCTATATTTTATTTACATACGCTCTATCTCTGGTATTGAGCACTTTATCCCATAAATATAGCACATCTTAAAACTATATTTCTTCATATCTATCTATCTATCTATATATGAATATGTATATATATGGGTCGGGGGTTGTAATCAAATATAGATCGAATGTCGATGATCGGATTCCGACAGAATGATAACTTAAAGAACAAATAAAAAACGTTTATCAAACTAATATCTTTCACTTTTGCTAAACCTTCCCCATATATATATATATATATATATATATATATATATATATATATATATATATATTCTAAAACAAGACAATAATATATATATATATATATATATATATATTATAATTTTCTTTTTTAAAATATGTGTTTTTTAAATAAAAATAAAAATAATTACTAAGAACATCGGATTATAAAGCTTACTGTTTTTCTTATTATTTCAATGTATATATATATATATATATATATATATATATATATATATATATATATATATATATATAGTCCGTCATAACATTCGTTTTTGTGGGGTGGCACCAAAAAAAGAATGTTATGACGGACCATGCCTAAAAAACACACGTAAACCAAAAGATAGCTTTTTCCTAAAATTTGGCTTGAAGATGAAACGAGACTAAACACCTCAACTCAACTTAATTTTAATAATTATTTGGATGATTTCGGCTCTCGTTTTTGAAACATGAGAACTCATATGTGGCGAAGGAATCATATTTTTAAACAAAAAAATATTACATATATATATATATATATATATAGTTCAGAAAATATATTCCAAGTGGATCCTAATAATATAAAATATTAAAACTGATCCACAAAAAGAGTTCAATGTATTTATTATAACAGAGCATATAAATTACATAATAGGGAAATCTGAAATTACTTTATGAGTATAAACTATTTCAACTAACGTCAACGCGCTAGTATTTTTCGACGCAAATGGAGGGATGACATTATATTAGAAACTTAAAATTAAATATTTTAAAAAGGGGCAGCCGTTGAAAATGTGATGATATGATATTGAGCTAACCAAACAAATCCCCCGATTGGTGGTAAGGGAAGGCGGCTGTTGTCAGTTAACAATATGAAAATAGCATTCTCTACATTCCTCCAGTTGCTAAGAACATTCTGTTTTTTGTTATTATTAGTTACTTTCTGTAATTAAATTCATTTCGTTTTTTGCTTTGAGAAAGTCCACATTGGACGAAACGCGTCAGCAATAACTACAGTTTTCCTATTGTCATTTATATTTATAAATATTGTCTTTTCTGCAGGTTAACTCTTAGAAATTTTCATATATATATATATATATATATATATATATATATATATTTGGTTGATAGATGTGAGTTTGTGACCCTGCGTTTCACGCTTTTAGCGATCGTCAGACAAACTGACAAAAGAAAAAAATTAATCAGTTTGTCTGACGATCACTAAAGCGTGAAACACAGGGTCACAAACTCACATCTATCCAACCAAATATGTCAGCTCTATCTCTGATATTGAGCGCTTTCTAATAAGTACCGCGCATATAATATATAAATAATTATACATATATATATTTATATACACACACTTTTCACATATATATATATATTATTATTATTATTTTTATTATTATTATTACTATTATTAAAGACAACAGGCATTTTGCGTCGATTAATTTTATTGATCGACCTTTCCAAATTACGAATAATCGTTCTTAGACAAGGACGAAATTCCGTTCAGAAATTGTTCGAACATTATTTAGGAAGCAGTGTGCAAGAAATATGTTCCAAACTATCGACTTTATTAAGTCCATCCTAATTGTTAATCGGATAGCCGAGTTCCAACTCTTGATGGGTTCATTATATTTACTTACGCGCAAATACCCTTGGAAAATGTATGAATCCAACTCTTCTGCCCCGGCTATGGGTTAATTAGTAAGATTTGTATCGCTAAATCATTATTATCGCTAAAAGTAAAAAAAAAATTCTTGCAATCTAATAATATTTTCTATCTTTAAATAACCTGCAAAGGGTTGATAAACCGTAAAAAACTAGTCACAATCAGTGAAAAGCTATTGCAAAATATTTCAATTGGTTGCATACATTTGGGGGCTATGAATATGTCGATTTCAGATTTATTTAATAATTTCTTCTCCATGAAAAAGAAATTTTGGTAAATATAATTCTTTGATTCAAGTAGGGAAATTTGAAATTAATATTAGCTCAAGTCGCGGTGTGTGGTGGGGGGATACCCCCAGGCAGTACCTCTACTTCGTGATGGGGCTAGAATCATTAACCGGTGCCTAAGGCGTCCCCAAAAGTAGAAGAACCGAGTTTGCTTGTGTAATTTTTTGCACGGCTTTCTGAAATCCCATACGAAACACCGACCTTGTGCCACATTCTGTTATGACGTGGGCGTGCGGATAAATACCCCTGATAAATATATTAACACCTTAAAACGAACGGATGAAACGAGCGGAAGTTGCGTCTATTGCCAACTATTACTTCCGGTTGCACAGCACTTTCCGCTGTATAGATGGTTATATCTCTTACACTTTCACCTCTCTTTACTGAACACTAAATTCTTCTCTTTCTTTCTATCTTTCTTTCTTTCTTTCTTTCATTCTTTCTTTATTTCTTTTTCCCTTCCTGTTTCTCTTTATTATGCTTACAATGCCAGTCACGTGTCAATATTAACTTTTTTTTTTTTTTGTTTTTGTTTTATCGCGTCGACTGTACTGTCTGTGTATTATCGCTATGTCATGACTCATCATCCGGGTAATCAAGTAATATCGCTGAACAAGCGGGGTTTTCATCTGGGTAGAAGGTTGACTGGTTAAGAGTTGACAAGGCTCTGAGTCGAATAATCAATACCCGTGCATGGTTTGCAATTTTTTGCTTTGTTTCGTTTCACGATGTTATGGCGTCTGTTTGTCGCCTGTCGCTTTTGACATAAAACCTCGGTTTCAATCTTTTTCTTTCCTTCTTCAGCTAGTCGTACCCTCATGACTGGCTGATGTTTGTTCGTATTCAAACAGAGAAAACATAGATAGATAGATAGATAGATAGATAGATAGATAGATAGGAGCTACCGCCTCTATTTCGCTGATAAAACAGCGTAGCATGATGAAAAAAGGCCCCAAACTTAATAAAACAAAGTTTCATCGTGAAAATATTTATGTTATTATTAAGAGGAAAGACCAAAGTATTTTTCTAGCACGTTCGAAATTTTGGTTAAAAATCTTGGTTTTTTTTTTTTCGGGGGGCGGGGGCACAGCGGTCGACACAATATCTGCGATTAGTGAAACGCCCTTTTTTTCAGGTGAAAAATACATTAATTTGGAAATTTTGCAAAAATTAAATAATTATCGGATTTAATCAAACTTTTAGACTAAAATTATTTTTGAAATTGTTTTTAGAAAATCTCGCTAATTTTTTTTTAGTTTTTTTTTTTTACATATGTTAACCCACCACGACCACCACCACTAATTACTTAATTTCATGAAATTTTGAGAAATTAACTTTTCATCCGAAATTTTTTTTATTATTTAAATGCAGGACTCCTTGGAATCATCAATTTTTTTTTAAACTACTACTCACGTCCCGAAAATTTGCTCCGAATAAAAAATGCAATAAAACTATTTAATTAGAAAAGCTTTTAATTACTTTTATTAATATGCTTTGTTAAGCACACTATTGTCTTAAGAAAAGAAAATTTCGATGAATAATGGATAATTGTTTTCATATTTTAACTTTAATTATAATAATTTATAATACATAAATCTTTTAAAATTTTGCATTACTTTCATCTAGTTAGGTGATATTGTTATCAAGTGAAAACTATATTTACTAATCAAAAATTGAAAAGCTTAATACAAATCATTTAATAATATTTTAAGATTTTTTTAATAATTTTTAATTTTTTTTATGTATATAAATTACGCAACGCGCCCATTTTTTAAAGTATGGTCGACCATACACGACATTTATCAAAAAATAAGAGCGATGACTATAGTAAATTTAAAGTCAAAATATTTCGTAAATTAGATTACACAGAATATTTTCCAACGTTATTACTAGTTATGAGAACTTAAAAAATATATACAAAAAGACGCTCACATTTTCTTAAATTATGTTTTACAGATAAATTCTCCGTAGAACAATAATCATTATGCTTGTCAAGGCCTCAATAATTATGTAAACAGCTACTGTTTTATTTTAAAAATACATTTCTGTGCTATTTTAAACTTAAAGTAAATAATATTTTTTCAAGTCAGATTAATAATACTTTAAATTAGCTAAGAGTCCTGAAATAAAGTTTCAGAAAAGTATATTTTGTTTTCAGAAGATTTTTTTAACACAGAAAATTACATTGCAATGAAAGACTGCTAAAAAGGGCGCCAATCAGCTAGTTTAGCAAAAACATTTTAAAAATTCTAATCAATATAATTTCTGTTTGAAATAAACCAGAGTATTTTGCTTACTTGAAATAGTAAATATAGTATTTTAGCTTTGAGTCAAAGCTAAAATGAAAGCTTCAAGAAAGATTTTCATTTATAAAAATTCATTTTAAAATTACTGGAGGTACCTCATAGATAGATAGATAGATAGATAGATAGATAGATAGATAGATAGATAGATATGAATGAGCCGTAATAGAGAGATAGATAGATAGATAGATAGATAGATAGATAGATAGATAGATAGATATGAACGAGCCGTAATAGATAGATAGATAGATAGATAGATAGATAGATAGATAGATAGATAGATAGATAGATAGATATGAACGAGCCGTAATAGATAGATAGATAGATAGATAGATAGATAGATAGATAGATAGATAGATAGATATGAACGAGCCGTATAGTTAGATAGATAGATAGATAGATAGATAGATAGATAGAGATAGATAGATAGATATGAACGAGCCATAATAGATAGATAGATAGATAGATAGATAGATAGATAGATAGATATTGCATTTTCATATAAGTACCATACGCATATACTCTCTCCTTCACTCTCTCTCTCTCTCTCTCTCTTAATTTTTATATATATATATATATATATATATATATATATATATATATATATATTTAATAAAGTTCACTCTAAGCAAGGCAATAAAGCTACCGAGACGCAAGGAGTTACTGGATGTCGAATAGTTAGGAACATTGCTAAGTGAGGGAGAACAGAAGGGGGGTAATCAGGAGGACAGCAGATAGCGATTGACATTGCATTTAAATTTTTGCAGATTAAAGTTGATTGCAATGCATGAATCTGGAAAGGAGTTCCACAAGCGAGAAGTGTCAGAAAAGAAACTGCTGGCATAGAATGTACGGTTACATCTCGAGCCAGCTCTACAGCAATATGATGAGATCTCATCGCCAGTCTTGTACTGCGCTTACATTCGAAGAGTCTAAACACCATAGCGAAGAGCTCATCCGAACAATTACCATGAGAGTATTTGTAGAAAGGGCACAGGTGGTGAGAAAGTGATTGAAGCCGAGATGCCAGATCGGGGTTAATAATATTGCTGATTGTTTTTTGGATTTGATCAAGGAACTCTTGATCGATTATAATAGCACCGGATCATACAATTATCTTAGACTGACATAAATAAGTAGATGAGTACTCAGTGAAGATTGAATTCAATACGCCTTGGGGATAGCTGACATTAATGGGATCCGCAGGTGGCAGCGCTGCTCGGAACAGTTCATGTTGTGTCTATCAGCTGTGGATAGGGATCAAGACACGACCATGATTACCCGGTCAAAACATCTAAGAGTTGTAGAGGATATCGAATCAAATTAATTAATTAATAATAATAATAATAATAATAATAATGAGGGGCAACTTGAATAAAGTCTATTGTTGGCCACCCAAGACCAAAGTCCTGGTAACAAACTCTTAAAGGGCATTTACCATTTAATACAATTGGATATGTGCCGATAATATGAGAAGGAAGTTGAAAACGAGACCCATGTCGGAAGCGCGTGCCAAATGTTTACTCAAAGCGAGTGCAAGCGGCGCTCCGATAAGGTGTGTCTAAATTTCCCACGGTGTCTCAGCTGGACATATCACGCGAACGAAAAGTGGTATCATCTCAAACCGGAAAGCGTTATGGAGAACGAACAAGCAACAGCATTGTGGGACTTCCAAATCCAAACCGACCGTAAGCTTGAACATACGAAGCCTGATGTTACTGTGGTTGATAAAGTCAACAGGAAGTGTCGCCATGGTGATGCTGCATTACCCAGGAGTCCAAAATCTGATGAAGAAAGCGATTTAGAAACTCAGCAGATATATTGCTCTGTGCACTAACCTGGGATGTCTGTGAGATGTGGCTACTACTATAACCCCTATCATCAACTGGTGCGTTATGCTTCATTTTCAGGTGTTTGAACAGTTACCTGGAAACTGTGGTGAACTGACCAGGGTGCCAGCATTCCCGTTGGCAAGCGTACCCCGGATGAAGTGCTCCGCCATGTCAAATAAAAATGCAATAAAGAAAGAAACAGAGACATAAATACGTAGTGCATGAAAAGGAATGAAGCAGGGAAGGTAATGGAAAGATGTAGAATAGTTAGAAGTCAGGCGTAATCAAAAAATTCTATTTTTTTAGCAAGAGTATGAATTTAAAGTTAATATTGCAATTCGTGATTTGAGATGGTCGGCAACTTCGAAGGATATCAATCAATGGCCTGGAGTCAGCTGACAAGGTTGCGAAATTCGCTGTCTGACGAAAATTTGGAATCATGCATGTTGCTATCGATTGAAAAGGAATTGTTAGATGAATTGGATGCAGAAGAAATTATTGGCAGATGCGAACATTTATCTAGTGAACACCATCGATTGATTTTAATATAGCGGACTGCATGCAATGCTATATTGTGCTTTTGAACTATCTGTTCATGTGTAAATCGGGCAGTATACCAAAAATATTAACCAATTCAAATTAAAACAAAAAAATTAGATTATAACATTCTGTAATACTGCTAGTAATACGTACAGTGAATGTACACTGTAATTACAACAAGTACACCTGTTCACTTTAATTACAAAAAAAAATGTACACTGTACACATGTACACCTTAATTACACGTAGTCTTGGGTATGACAATAAACTACATCGGGCATGTAACCGCCTCTTCTGCTCCAACAGCTTCTTCTCTCGCACTTCCCGACAGTGGAACTCCCTTCCTCTTAGTTGCTTCCCTGATAACTATAATCTTCAAAAACTTAAATATAATGTCAATCGACATCTTCTGTTGCCTTGTTTCCCGTTCTTCTTTTTATCCTCCTCAGTTTCTCTCTTTATCTTTTCCTCAACCCCCATCCCTATATCCAGTCTTTTCCCTTACTTACAATTTCTGTAAGCCCCTTGCGTACTAGTGGCACTCCCGCCTTGCTTGGAATGAAATGATTATATATATATATATATATATATATATATATATATATATATATATATATATATATATTCGAAAATTATAACATAAATATGTTATAAAATCACTACAAAAATAGCCATTTCGTTTCACCACTTCTGCTATATTTATGGGATAAAGTGCTCAATATCAGAGATAGAGCGTGTGTAAATATAAAAAGTGAAGATAGAAATCAATCTTAGAGGCGACAGTCTGTTTCATGCTAGATGCAATCGAAACAGGCCTGACGATTGCATCTAGCATGTTGATTTCTTTCTTTTATTATATATATATATATATATATATATATATATAAAGCATTTCATTCAAGCAAAGGCGGGAGTGCGATGAAATAATATTTGCTCGGCTATGAAGCATTGAGTATTTCAGAAATTTTTGTCTCCCCAGTGTCCATATTCTACCCATTAGTGTGAAATTTACTTATAAAATAAAATATTCGCTGTCTGAGGAGAATATGGAATCATATATGTTGCTATCCATTGAAAAGGAATTGTTAGATGAATTGGATGCAGAAGCAATTATTGGCAGATTCACACAATCATTAAGTGTAAACACAAACGATTGCTCTTAATATGACGGACTGTATGCAATGCACTATTCTGCTTTTGAATTGTCTAAATGTATAAATTGTGCAGCATGACCTATATATATATATATATATATGTTTGTGT